GTGGGCACGGAGCCTGGGGGGAACGTGCGGTCCTGATGATGGGGAGAAGCGTGGAGGCAGATGGAGCTTTGCCTCCGTTTTCTGCATTTAGCTGGGGCTGCAAAATGGGGGCGTGGCTGTCAGCTGTGCTTGATTTCAGGGACCATTCCCAGTCCTTTAGGAAACTGGGACTCACTTCACCCAACCAGTGAGCTGGCCTGTGCCCACTGCAAATGGGGAAAACCCATTCTCCTGTATTTACCGTGGATATACCCCACCACGGTGGAGAGCAAAACACACCAAAGGCCTCCAAGTGATGACCAGCGTTTTCTCAGTGCAGGGAAAAGCATTTTAATCCACAGCAACCAAAGCAAAACCTCTCTTTTTGGTGATTCAGGACTCCCTCTTGTGTCCAAAGGATGGCTCTGGTGTCTCAGGGTGACAAACTCTCGCCTCTAGCTAGCTCATAATGGGCATTAGTTAGCAAAACTGAAAATATTATGAATGCAGCTGTTAGGTCTCATCTCTTCTAAAAATCCCTTCTTCCTTTAATAGAAATCATGTTGCATGCAAAAAAACCTGCTGTCCCTATGTAATGCCTAGCCAAATTGGCATTAACCAGTCAGCTGGATTGGTGTCAGCAAAAAGCGAAGGTGCAGGGGAGCACAGAGCCATGTCCCCACACCACATCCTCCCAGGTTTTGTAGTTCCAGAAGATTAACTTGCTGCAGAGCCTGCTATGAACTGCAGTCCTGCAGGCGCCTGCTGGCGGTGATTTACCCAAGCTTCCGCTGGGCTCTGCCTCTTCTCAGCATGGGGATGGCAGATGTATTAAAAAGGAAAATAGTTGCATTTAAGGCATTAATTTTTGAAGTATGTTAGCCTTCAGAATTGGAATATATTAATATTTTGGTTGCCTTGAGCAAAGAAAAGGCATCAAAAGCTGCAAAGGGTAGTAAATGTTTTGTTAAAGGGCATTGGAGCCTCTTTGTAGGTGAGGGCACAGGCTGGGATGGGGGACCTGCTGTCTCCCACCGCTGAACCATCACACAAACCCTCCTGGGCACTCACATGGAGACCCTTCCAATGAAGTGCTGCCCTGAGGTGAACCCCAGCCCTGGGTGGCTTTTCCCCATGAGATTCCCTGCGGAGCTGGCGGGGTGGCGGGTACTGGCCCCAGTCACTGTCAGGCACTGCGGCACGCCTGGCCCCGTCCCTCCATCCTGGGAGGCGATGGCTCTGAGTCATCCCCCTGAAAACAGCCCCTGGGATGCGTCAGAATATATCTAGGGCTGATGCACAGCAGGAACGGGAGCTCTAACATTGCCTTCAAAGGGTCGCAGCTGCACTCCCGGAGGAGCTGGGATGAAATCCAGGTCGGGATGGGGAAGAAGGGTCTCTGTCTGCTTAGAGAGGGCAACTCTAGGTCACTTCCACTGTGAACGCTGACATGGGAAAGCTACACTTCTGCAAATGCCTGATGCAAACAGAGACTTGCAGAACACCAGTCATGCCTACAGGGGAAGAATGAAATCCATCTGGCAGTGAGAGGTGATGTTCCTCCTGGGGAGGGAGGCACAGGCGAGGGGTATGACACCAACCTCTGCCTCCCCACTTGCTGCTCAGAGCTGAAGCTTCCAGCATCCCCTGGCTCTCTGGAGCAGTTTGCTTATAAAAGAGTTGGGAATTAGTGTTTTGTAGAGAAACCCAGAGCCTCTGCCATGCAAAGTGCAGGGGGAGGCTGCTGCAGCAGGTATGGGGGTGGCCCAGGGAAACCAATCTGCTCCTGTGACTTCTCTTGCCTCCCCGTGTGAGACACATGGCAGAGATAGAGCATGGCTATCTATAGCCTGAGGAGAGCTGCTAACAAAAGTGCCCTTAATCCGGGTGCACAGCAGGCTCAGTGGCGCACCGGCTGTTGCTGCGGTTAGGTACTGAGCGTCAGCTTGGGCTTCAGCTGCATCCTGAAGTGCTGTTGCACTTGTCAGTCAATCCAAGGTACTGAGAAAAGTGGAAGGGTTTACTGCACTTTTTTCTCCAAAATTTCAGTTCAGGTTTTCCTTTCCAGGCAGCTGTAACCCACTACAAAACAAGCAGAGGCATCCTTCAGGTCAAATATAAGGAAATAAAAAGCAGAAGTCCAACTAAGTTGCAACTTTATTTGAGGTCAGGGGTGTTTGCAGTGCTGCTTGGGCAGTCTGCCATGGTTCCAAACTGCAGCAAAATGCTCCAGTGTCCCTTTTCACTGTACAGGGCACCCCTCAAAGCCCTTTAAGCACTGCGGCTTCTTCCCTCAGGAATGTGTCACAGGCTAAATGGTCACCTGGAGTGCAATTTCCCCAGTTAAAACTAGTTTCCTTCAAGAGAAGCATGCTGACACCCCATGGGGAAAAAAAAAAAATCTGGGATTTTACTGCTACCTAAATCTTCCTTGGAGGGTTTTAGCTGAATGAGCCCCTGTTTGCCTCCTTCCCCAGCTGTGTCGCTCCCATTGATGCATCTTCTCTGGCAGCCAGGACAGGGCTGTCACACCACATGCCACCTTGGCTCCCGCAGGCAGAAATTGCTTTAGGAAAGGAGAAGGGTACCTATCAAAACCAACAGATGTGCGAGCACTGCAAATTGTTATTTAATTAAGGAGATGGGACATTCACAGGAAGCTTAATTAAAGTTGCTTTCTGAAACCACTTATTATCTCATCAAGACACTGAGCTCAGCAGCAGCTCCTGCCGACGCTGCAACAGCACTAGAAAATCCCTCTTGGGCTGCCTTTACTATATGTGTTTTTTCCTTTGTCCTGGTTTCCACTATTTTCTTCCTAGTAGCAGGCATAGTGCTGTGTTTTGGATTTAATATGAGAAGAATGTTGATAACACACTGGTGTTTTAGTTGTTGCTAAATACTGCTTATGCTAGTCAAAGACTTTTCAGCTTCCCATGCTCTGCCAGGTGCACAACAAACTGGGAGGGGGCACAGCCAGGATAGTTGATCCAAACTGACCAAAGGGCTACTCCATACCATATGACATCATGCTCAGTATATAAACTGGGGGTGTTTGGCCGAGGAGCAGCGATCGCTGCTCGGGAGCTGTCTGGGTATTGGTCGGCAGGTGGTGAGCAATTGCATTGTGCATCACTTGCTTTGTATATTATTATTATCATTATTACATTGTTGTTATTACTACTACTGTTTTACTTTATTTCAATTATTAAACTGTTCTTATCTCAACCCAGGAGTGTTTCTCACTCTTACTCCTCTGATTCTCTCCCCCATCCCATCAGGGTAGGGGGAGTGAGCGAGCGGCTGCATGGTGCTTAGATGCTGGTTGGGGATAAAACACGACATCCTTACACTATATCATCTTTTGGCTAAGTCCTGATCAAGGGAAAGTGTTTTGCAGTGAAAATAAAATCAAAACAGGTTTATCCAGCTGCATTTCCAGAGGTGTGTTTGCTTATCTGCCACCCTGGTCCTGGTTGCACCTGCCAGATGCCAGCATTACCCTTGTAGCGTTACTCCCTCTGCACTGTAGCTCCCTTCTGCTGAGGAAATACTTTCCATCCAGACAACTTCAAAAGTCACACGTGCACCCAGAGCATTTGGCACTTCTGCTATTATTAAGGATGCTACACTGATGCTAATAGTATCCTGCCTTAGGTAGCATAAGGAAGGACAGAGAGAGGTCACCTTAATTTTGCTGGAAGGTGCTTTTCTACCCAGACCTCCTGTGACTCCCTCTTGGGGCAACTTAGATTCACTGGGAAAAGGCCGAGGAGGATTTGCTCCCCATCCTTCAGGATTGTCCACTTCTATTACAAATTCCTGGCAAGATCCCCTTTAGTGCGCACAGATTTGAAACACTTCCCTGTGCTCTGTGGAACACTGCCTTGAGGTAAGCGGAGTTCATAACATCAGTGAAGTCACCTCAGACTACACCCTGAGTTCACTCTGGGTTCATCCTTGAGGCCCTGGGCCAAGTCCATGCAGGTCTGGCCCATCAGCCCAGCTCCTCAGCTCTGTTTTTGAGGTGGCAGCAGGCACCTTGGTCACAGAACCACTGCAGCGGCACCTCTACCCAATGCGACAGTGTCCAAGCCTTCAGCAGCACATGGTGGCCACAGATCTCCACCAAGAGCTGTTTGTGCCTGGGGCAGGGCGCCGCTTTGGACCGCCGCCAGCACCGCTTGCAGATGCAGATGCTCATGAGCGCAGCAGCACAGCCACACCGCTACTGGGGAGATCAGCCCTCCGCAGTTCAATCTCAAACGCCCTGTGCCAGTATCCACCTGCGTTGCCCCTTCCTGTGTTGCCACACCTGCACCGCGCGTGTTGCGCGCACCAGTCTGCAGCTGCCTTCGGCCAGCTTGGACAGGCCTGAACCTCCTTGAGCTGCCTACATTGCAGCGCACCGC